GCATCAGCCTCCTTATCTAGTATTCTTCCTACCCATAGTCATGTGACCCAAAGTGGTCACATGTGCAAAACCAAATCACAACAAACTAGTCAGGTAACCAAAATGGTCACATGCTCAAAACACATGACCCCCTAGCGAGGTCATATGCAAAAACTCATAAACCAATCGTCATACAATAAATAACTCATATGACTCGACTGAGTCATAAGCGTAAAACCTATGATCTCATAACGAGGTCATGTGCGAAACATAAATTATAAGCACAAGGCATACCCGCAAGGCACACTCACAAGGCATACTTATCAGGCACATGTCCCATGACTCATATTTGATCCATGTGCGAAAGCATCACAAATTCCACACATCACAAATCATATGACTCAAATGAGTCATATGTGTGAAATAATAACATACCTGTGACTCATAACCATGTGTCACGTGAAAACCTTTTCCTCGCCAAGCCACTTTCGTGACAATCATTGTGTTCTCTTCTGGCTCTTTTCTCCGCTATATATCTATTGGTTTCAATCACTAGAAGTTTAATGGCCTCCTCATTCTAGAAGAACTCAAAGCTTTAAGCTATCATAATATTAGGACCTGCTCATAACAATCGCAGCTTACCCTTGTGATCTATTCCTAAGCCAAGAGAGGTATAGGGAATATAGACAATTAGTTCATTTTCACCAGATTGATCGAGGTTTCTGGCTACTCACCACTTGTTTATTAGTTTTTTCAGTATACTCGACCTCTTTAGCAATCAGGAATTGGCTCAAATAGATATTAAAGATACTCATAAATGTTTTAAATTCAACATTGCATATGTATCTCAAGACCTGGCAGGAGAGATGAGTTTGTTGTACAACTATACCATTGTACCCTTTCTGGAAATGTATTATTCCTACTGGGCAATAGTGTACCTGTTACAATTTTTGACTATTTCAGACCGTATAAAAGATAGCAAAAGTGTTCAAGCACTTGTTTTTTTTTTGTTTTTTTTTGGTAAATCCTAGAATCTATTTGCTTAAAGGAGCAAACCTCTACTATAAGAGCACAGTACGGCCAAAGCATAGATTTTAAATACAAGAACACCTCTACGATAACCACCTTATAACTTCAATTTAATACTAAGATATGCAGGTCAAAAAACCTCCTCCAGATGGTAAGTGGAAAACAAGCCAACTCAAGTTCCTTCGGTATGCGACCAACTGCAAGTCTACTCCCATAATGAACTCCTTTTACACAAAACAAAAAAAGCACAAAACAAGACCGGCAGGATCTAGCAAAATACCTACCATATTCGCTTAAGAAAGGAAACACAAAAGAAACCCGATAAAGGAAACCACCCTGATTAAACAAATTCCCTAGTTTTCAACTAGCTCAGCCTTGACAAGTGACTAGGAATATAGAGGAAAACTATAATGCATTTATTTCACGTGATGAAGGTAACTGACCTGAACATGTCAGCCTCCATTAGAGTGATCACTTATGGCTAATCAGATGGGAGCATGACTGGAGACTGTGCAATACCAACCACACATTGAGGAGTATTCTAGACATTGGTAGAACATGAACCCGACTTGTTAAAAAAGCCGAGTGAGGCAGGAGGGGATTCATAAGCTGATACAGCCTAGCTGAAGGGGCCACCATAGAGGAAGGAGGAGGACGGTAAACCATAGTTTGGCAGAGAAACAGAGTCCAATATCAGAGAGGGTGAAAATCTCATTTAGCCTCATGATGAGGTTTGGTTTCTAGGCCTATGAAGCTTTAAAGGTTTAGCGCAAGAAAGGAAATTATGTGGTTGTAGGTTGAGGTATTGGCACCCACAACCTCCTTCCAAAACAGGAAGGTGAAAAGCATAGTCAGGAAGATAGCAGAAGAGAAGCTTGATGTTTAAGTACCAGTACTGTATGAGTACTTATACTAGTACTAGTACAAGTACAGTCATGTCTGAAAAGTCTAGATACCCCTTACAGCCATAGTACTACTACTACAAATTATGATATTGACCACAACAAAAAAAAGATATGAGTACAATTTTAAAATAAATAATAGTAGAAATAGAGAAAAACAGTTTTCCAATACTACTATTTTGTATGGCTTCCATCTGCATCTAATACAGCCTGAAGTCTCTCAGGCATTCTCTGAATCTATTCATCAAATGTTCTCTGGGGAATGAAGTCCTACTCTTTCTTTGCTGCCTGAACTAATTCAGTAGCAGTATGGGGCCTTCTCTCAACCTTGGAGAATTGCTTTCTGAGTGCTCTTTTGAGAATTGCCCAGACATTCTCAATAGAATTAAGATCTAGTGAGTTGAGAGCCCAAGCCAATCTTTGATATCTACAGTCCTCTTACATTTTTTTATTTTCTGATCCATTATGCCATGATGCATTATCAACAGTCATATAGATGGTTTGAGGAGCTCTGTCTATGGCTTTTATGAAGGGGATGAGATAGGGTTGGTGAATCTCAGTTGCATATTGGTGGAAATTGAGACCAAATCTCTCTCTTTTACTAGTTCTTTCCTTCTCAGTCCTCTTCCTCACAAGAATGAGCTCAGTCCTCCCTTCATATATCATTGCAGCATATCCACCTATGTTGGTGTGTCCTGACTTAAAGCTAGGCTTTAAGTTCTTTTCTTCTAACTCTTCACCTGGTCTAAGTCTGACCTTTCTTCCTACTGGATTTGGATCATATTCAATTGTAGCTTTATCTACAAAAACCACTCATTTTCAAGCTCTTGTCCAGTTCCTCCTTACTCTATCAAACTCCTTTCTCTTCTCCTTCTGTCCCTTTCTCCAAAAAGTCTTTTTCCTAGTTATCTTGAACTTAAATCCAGCTTCTTCAAATATCTTGCTAACAGTATCTTTACTAAGTGCAATATTGCCTTTTTGAGAAATGTCTCTTAGGGCTAAATAAGGCTCAGCATCAATAATATCAAGAATTACTTCTCTTTTGGCATCAGTAATCTTGGTTGGTCTCCAAGATCTGGGCGCATCATGGGTGTTTTCATCTCTGGATATTGCATTTTTGACTACTGTTGAAACAGTTGACTTGGAGAGGTTTATAAACTTTGAAATTTTACCATACCCCATATCCATATATTTATAGAGGGCATAGATTTCCCTTTTCTGGTCTTCTCTGGTCTTCTCTGAGGGTTTGGGAGTGTGGTGGTGCCATGGTAGGAGGTGATGTTGAGGTGATCGTTGGTTACGGTGTTGCCAAGCAGGGGTACGTCGACCTTTCCGACACGACTGTACTGTATGATACTTGTCTTACCAAGTTGCCCCAGTACTGGTAGGTGTGGATAGCCGCACTATCAGACCAGTGACTTGACAACCGTAATCCCAGTCGGTGGAGCAAAAAAAGAAAACAGGGAAAGATGGAGGGAGGGATCCGCTTGCCGTCCTCTGTTTATGACCTCCCGAGAATTGCTAACATTCTTGCTAGGGCAGGTTCTCGCACCATCATATTCCCAACTAACATGATGAGAAGTGTGAACCCAATAAATTCCGTCTTTCCCCCAGTGCTCCTCCTGAATATCTCATGCCGTATAGCGATACCTTTAGTTAGCTGGATTGTTTGAAGAATGAAAATTGGGTTTCTCCTGCACCCTTCTCCAAGAAAAAGCAAAGATCAAAGGATTTCCGACTTGCACCCTGCTCCCTTCACAAAAGGCAGGGCGCAAAAACGTCACAAGATCTTCCCAGCTTGACAGATTAGAACCGACACCCGAGTGAAGAAAAAAGTGAGACAACGGGATTCCCCACGAAAACAACTGGAATGTTCGGAATAATCAGCAACCCCCCAAAAATAATTTAAATTCAAGACATTGCATACTAGATAGCTTCAATCACATCTAGGAATTACCTTCCTGTATATACTTTAGAAAGTATCTATGTTAAAATGGATCTCTATCAATAACTGCTGTAATTGAAATCAACTCTCAATACCATGCCTGCCAGGTATTTTTTTGGTGCGGCAAAACAAGAAAAATTTTGAGTCCCATCCCTACTCACAATAGCTGGTAGAGGAGAAATTATATCTATATTCCCAAGGGGTGGTGGAGGAGGGTTACTAGGGGAGAAGCAACACAACAAGTCTATGGAATTCTTTTCACAACGATGCCGGAATCTAGGTTGATACCGTATTACTTGTAATGTGCGAAAACTCCCCATTTTGGTGTGAAACCGGTCTTGTCCCCCAACTTTCTTCACTCGAGTGCCCGACCTCACAGGGAGGCTTAAAAAATTACTTTGAAGATGGAATCATCTAGGGTCAAGCGACCGCGAAAAGCAGAGATGGTACCGTGTTCATAGGTCGTGTATATTCGTGGCCTTGCAAGGACATGACAGCTACAGTATCGTACGACGGATGTGAACATTCTAAAAACCCAACACGTACTAATCCTCTGGTATGACCTTGATGGAGATTCTTACAAGAGCTACCGTACTCAAGTGCGGTGAGGAGAAATTTTCCTCTCCACAGCTGCTCATGCTTCCGGTATGATAGGAACGCATTTCACCGATTCAAAAAGTCCTTCCCCTCCTCGTACCGTACTTTCTTAGATTGAGTATGTGAGCTGCGAACATGGCAGCGGGACGGCGTAAGTAACCCACTTGGATCACACCAGCTTCCAGAATTTTGATACCACATCCATTGGATCCCCAATGAGGCTCCTGGCCATTCCGGCGGGACAAAGCAGAGGGCAGCCTATGAATCTCGACAAGCGGTGCCAAAATCTTCATCGGAGCATGGGCAGCAGCGTCCCTCCGGTAGGCGCACCTATCAAGATCGGAAGAGACTCCCTGATAGAATGAAGCTCAGAGCTGAGCCAAGTGACAGTTCAATATTTGGCATTATTTGTACGTGCATAAACAATCTGTTGGATTCATCCGAAAGTTATCGGTAGATGCTCTCGTAACATAATAGAGGGGGTCGTGAGGAGAAAAATAATGAAAAGGGTTTCCCAACAAGACAAGTTAGAGGCGGTACGAGTTAACCGGTTGTGAATTGTAGAGGTTTTTAATTTCGCTTTAAAGGACAGATGTTCATCTTTCTCCCCTTTCTTTTCTTTTCTCCCCTTTTCTCCCCTTTTCTCCCTCTCCCGTCAACAGAAAATGTGTATTTCCGAGTGATAACAAGATAGCCACTGCCGGAGTTTACCAAGACAATGTTGATGTTGCTCGTACAGTATGATTCGATTGATGACAATGGCCCCTGTAATCAGGGTCATTAGACAGCTGAGGGAGATAACCCTAACCCGCGAATCACACCAGTGGCATCCTGCTCGCAATTACCGAATCCCCCGATACGGGAAAGAGGATTTGGAAGCGCTTGAAGTTACAAGCACGCCACCCGCGATCAGAAGTGTTCTTATGATAGTGTTGGTGGTGAAGGAAGTACCGGGAAAATGGAGAGATGATGGAGAGAGGTAGATGGGGGGATGGAAGAGAAACAGACCACGATATGAAGTAGGACACGGCAAGTTTCTTAAATGGCCGGGCATCGTAATAAGATGCTGGGGGTGTTGTCCTTGTGTGTACGAGAGTACTAGTACTCGAGTAGTGTGCTGCTGTCTCTTCTGCGGGCGATCTGTTCCCGTACGATAGGAGGGCGGCGCTGTTCCTGAATGAGACTTTTTTTATTTTTATTTTGGATGGGGAGACATGAAATAATATTGGTGGTGATGGCAGTTGAAGTCTTGGAGGCTAACAGGCTTACAGAGGCTCGAATGTGAGTACCGGTACTGTACTATGATAGTACGAGTACTGTGCCTCCAGTAACTGGTTGGGCTTCAACAACCGCAGAAATTCAATAAAGGGTATGGCCGCTTAGACCCCCCGAACCAGCGCTTTCCGCTCTCGCCATTCGCCCTGCCTCCATCACAGCTGCTCCATACCCTTCCTTCTCTTCTTTTCTTCCTCTTGTTCTCACACACCCACAGTCTCTCCCGCTCGCGTGTTCTCTCCCACCTTCACACATCCCGTCCCCTAAGACACTTCCTACAATACCAGTACGAGTACTCTTTCCCACCTCGTGCCCTGCACTCTGGGATTCACGGACTACAAGTACTTAGCTGGTCACTTCCCCCCCTTCTCCAATTTCTATCCCGACCCTGTCCCCTATTTTCTCTTCCGACTTTTCTCTTTGGCCCTATAACTCTCCTATACACTTCCCCTCCCCTCCCCATCCTTCTCCTAGCTTCATATTCTCTTAAACAACTCGGTTCGTTTCATAAATCTCCTAGAATCTTAGACTTTTAGTTTACGAATTCACGATCTACACCACGTAATGTCTACTCGTCCCCAAAACGTCGGCATCAAAGCCATTGAAATCTACTTCCCTACCCAGGTTCGCTTCTCCCACCATCCACAGTGGTTTGCGCCATCCTGTTCCTGAGCTGTGATGGCAGCACACCCATCCCATGGGCAATTTCTCTAATTTCAGGAATGAATGTTAGTGCGTTGATCAAGCCGAGTTGGAGAAATTCGATGGTGTCTCCACTGGAAAATACACAATCGGTCTTGGACAGACCAAGATGTCCTTCTGTGACGATAGAGAAGGTAATTCATGGTTTTTTCCCGCAGGAATGAAGGGAGCGCCCAGAAACTTACCTAGCATTTTAGATATCTACTCTCTCTCATTGACTGTTGTCAAGTCACTCCTCGAGAAATACAGCATTGACCCCATGTCGATCGGTCGGCTGGAAGTCGGCACCGAAACTTTGCTCGATAAGTCAAAGTCCGTAAAGTCTGTTCTCATGCAGATTTTATCCCCCAATACCAACATTGAGGGTGTTGACACGGTCAACGCCTGTTACGGCGGCACCAACGCTTTGTTTAATGCTATCAACTGGGTTGAGTCCTCAGCTTGGGATGGTCGTAATGCTATTGTTGTTGCCGGTGATATTGCCCTCTACAGCAAGGGAAATGCCAGGCCTACTGGTGGAGCTGGCTGTATTGCCATGCTTGTTGGTCCCGACGCACCACTTGTCCTGGAGCCCGGAAAGAGGGGGAGTTACATGTCCCATGCCTATGACTTCTACAAGCCAGATTTCACGAGCGAGTATCCCGTTGTAGATGGTTACTACTCCATTCGCTGTTACACTGAGGCTGTCGATGGTTGCTACAAGGCGTACAACAGCCGGGAAGCTACCCTTAGTGCTCTCGCACGCATGAATGAGGGTGCCAACGGCAGTGGTGTAGCCAACGGAAATGGTGTTGCTAACGGAAATGGCCATGCCGCACCCAACGGTGGGATCGACCGTTTTGATTACATGCTTTTCCATGCCCCCACATGCAAGCTCGTATCCAAGTCATATGCTCGCCTTTTGTATAACGATTTCCTCGCTTCCCCCGAAGCTCCCCAGTTTGACAGCGTTCCCCAAGACCTCCGTGAACTCGATTACGAGCGGTCGCTCTCAGACCGAAACATCGAGAAGACCTTTATGGGTCTTTCCAAGAAGAAGTTTGAGGAGCGTGTGAAGCCTAGTTTGCTTGCACCCACACAGTGTGGGAACATGTATACCGCTAGTGTTTACTCTGGCCTTGTATCCCTACTTTCCAATATTGACTCAGACATCCTTCAAGGCAAGCGGGTTGCCTTGTTCTCCTACGGGAGTGGGTTGGCGAGTAGCTTGTTCTCCTTGATAGTTAAGGGCAGCACCAAAGAGTTGGCCGACAAGCTTAACCTCAAAGAGAGGCTTGAAGCGAGAAGGGTTGTTGAGCCCCAGGTTTACGACTATGTAAGTCTACTGCTACCCCTCTGCATTGAAGTTCACATTCTAACATCTACCTCCCCAGATGTGCGAGCTCCGCCACCAGGCTCATGGAAAGAAAAACTTTATTCCCCAGGGGAGCGCTGAGACCATCAGCAAAGGCGCTTACTACTGCCTCAAGGTGGATGAGCTTTTCCGAAGGCAATACCAGAGAAAGGAGTAAAAAAATACATTTTATTTATTCATTGGAAGATATCATGCGCTTTTAGACGGGTTTCATGCCCAGACACAGTATGTACGAAAGATAAACTATGTACCTAATGAACGTCGGGTACTAAATTCCATTAATGGCTATGGAATAAGTCCATCTGTCTGGTCCCTCCGTGTTGTTCCAGAAGTGATTTCACAAACCATTCCCTTCTCGTCCGCACTGGGTGTGGTAATGGTTCCCAACAAGCCAGGTTGAAGCGCATATCAGTTTGGTTCGGCTCTGGAAATTTGGCTGCTTACTTTGGAGGTAACATTGCGGCACTCGGCCTCCCAGATCCCATGTGCCTCGCGGACCACTCTTTTACTCTGTGTTTACACCAATGGTCCTCGGGGAGAAGCCAATGATCACCGCATCGGTAAATGAAACTAAATGAGTGTCCAAATCTGATTAATCGGGTTGCTGGAGGGGGTTGTACTCGAGTATGGTATGAAAGGTAAGAATTCCTTAAATAAATTTACCGGTATTGCAATACCGCCGACCATCAAATTTTGATGGTTACTGACACGATGCAAGGAACGGGCGGCCCTGGGCCGGGGAACGGGAGGGAGGTGTGTTTTGCGGTCAGATTGATGAATGGGTGGGATTTATTGTGTTGTAGCATTGAATAAATAAATTTATCCTTGTATCGCCGGCCCGGCCTCAACATCGCGTTGTAACAAGACCGGTACAGCATGGCCAGTGTGTGTGTGGTGTGGTGGGATGCATGCGGCGCAATACCGCGTGGGGGGTTGCTGCCATCCTTGGCTGAACTCGAGAGTTGTTTTTACGATAAGTTCGAGCATGGTGGCGCTTCCTTGTTAGTGGACCGATATCGGGTACCGGTACCTTCGTACTGTACTTGCAGTACCGGTATGCATACCTGTAGTCATCGTTCCGAGAACCCTTCGTTTTGGAGATGTGATATGGCATTTGTTTTTCTGTTTTTTCTTTTTTCCCTTCTGTCTGTTGGAATAGGATGTGATTGGAAGGGATCCTGCGGATGGTGTTGGAACCCAAGGACGAGTGATGGTTAGTGATTCATCACAACTTCCGGCGATTCTCGACCTACTTCAGCTTCCGAAGTAGGTGTGGGGTGTGTGGGAGTGCCGGACGAATAGTGCTCGGGTTAGGTTGTGGGTGTGGTACTAGTGCTTGGGAGGCGGTCCGGATGGCTTATTGGAGCGTGGTATGGGAATTGTTTTGTCGTGGGGGTAAGGGATCATACAACGTTGGTGGTAAAAGAAACAGATTTCCACGTATATTGAAAATCCATTGCGAGCTTTTACAAATCATACACTCATTGCTATTACGACTCCACAAGACAAACAATAAGCCCACCGGAATACTTTCAACCACTCCTAAATCCTTAGCAGATCCTGGCTCTCATAAGTATAAACCATCAAGAACAATAGGAATACTGATGTCAACAATTATCAACTGGTCTTATGAATTACATAAATGACAAGGTGTTCTCCGAGTGCCCAGAGTCCTACTATAAACAATATATCTATCATAACTTCCAGGAAGGATTCTCTAAAGTAGATGGAAGGTTAGAATGCAGATATAGGAAAGGATGAAACAAGGGTTAACAATTGTTATAAGTGGTCCAGACATCAAAGGACTACTTTCAAGAATATATCAACATGGAAAGAGTGATAACTATTCTATCAAGCAGATATTAATTTATATCTGAATCAAATCTGATATTTACTAGTCCAATATCTAGGGCTGTAAATACAAGTACCTTGTAATTAAACAATATATAATTGCAGATTGTGTTGCAGATATTAAGCTAATCTCAATCATAATATAATTAGGTATTAAATAAGATTTGAACTCAAATATATAATAAACAAAGTTAATCAAGTATTGGTTCTTAATATAGTCTTAGAATTGCTGAAAGTACAATATCTTACCAGCTAAAATAGAAGAATAAATCTGCTGTAAGTTCTTTGTAAAAGATTTTATTATTATTAAAAAATATAAGGAAGATTGCTTAAAATATAATAGTTAAATAGGAAGTTGAAGTCAAATATATAATGTACTAAAACAGATTCTCCAGAAAATACATATAAAGAAAAGTGACAAAATGTTAACTATAAAGTTGAACAAATAAAATTATTGAACTTATTATCAGTAAATATGAAGCTTTACTTAATGGTATTTTCTTAAAATATAGTCTATTATGAGAGTAGAGGACAACTCTTATATATTTAAATAATATTACATACTTTAAATTACTCCCGATTACTAGTCAAAAGTTTATGAGTATTCAACTCTTACAGGAAGTTAGATTTCTACTTTGTTCAGTCTAAAGATTCTCTCTATTAAATTATACTACTGTGTAGTAATCTAACCTCATTGAGACAGAAGTGCTTTAGCAATTACATCTGAAATACAGCTATAAGTAAAAAGAAATATTTCTATTTTAGGTATATTAGGAATCAACTCTTATACCTATCAGGTATCCTCTGTCTTCACTACACTTTGGGTGATTGAAATTTATTTCCTATTTAAGATCTCAACAGTAAAGATTTTTCTTACCACTTCTTTTATCTGGCCCCTTTCTTTAAAGGGAATAGGACAATCACTTTCTATCTTCCTATCATATTGGGATACTGCTCTTGTATTTTCTCTTTTGGTCTATCCTCTTAAGGACTTTTTCTTGCCTCTTTCAACATCTTATGATGTTGGTTTTTGTTTCAACCTTGCTTTTGTTCTACTCTTACTTAGTATCAGCACAGTAAGGTTTTCACTTTTTTCTTACAATAAAAGGCAGGAAACATGGTAAGCAGTACCAGCTTGAGATAGATTCCCTCTGCATCTCCCAAAAGAAACAGGGAATTGTTCTGGTCTCCTCAATAGGCTATAGTCATTTTCACCACTCTCTTCCTCTTTTTTGCTATTAGGAATACCAGGATCTGATACATAGGAATCACTCTAAGTAGGGTAACCTTACTTGGAATCGGAATTCTTGGTCTCTAACACTCACGCCCATCCTCCTTATAGGCCCGCATATCATTATTGATATCAATCTCAGTTGCATCCTATGACTATAATACCATTGAATGGAAGGTGTCAGAATTACAATATATATTTTGCCACCGTCTATCTGACCTGATCCTGTTCACAGGATATATGAGAAGAGACCTTTGGCTAGGTGTAATGATCCCTCCTTGGATGGTTAGGTCTTGCTAATGGGGAACGATACTTTTCTTTTTCTTTTTCTCCTCTGCTTTATCTTACGATAGCGCTAGGCCTTTGCCTACATTACTGATATTACAAGACCTCTGTGTTCTATCGGGAACTCCTATCGTAAGCTTTCTCTAACTCTTTTTCGCAAAGAACTTTTTCTTGGTGTAACGATAATGTTGCAATAAAGATAAAGATTGTAAAGGTGTTTTATATTTGTTAAAATAATAAGTAGGAAAAGTACTTAGAAGTCAATCTAATTTTATTTAAACTCATACCGCCAACACTGGCATACGACGAGCCCCTGCCGGCGCAGGGATACCGCTAACAAGTATACCACTAATCCCAAGCTAACTAAGTCTACGGTCCCGCACCTGCCATCCCCGAGTCATGCCCGCACGAGAACTAATTACAAGACCATCAAACAACCCAGCGCCAGCCCAAGTCCAAGTCTGTAGCCCCTCTGGTATGAGGCCAACCAGTACCAAGCGTAGCCAAAGCCGAGCAAGAGACCGACCCAACCAGGTTCCTTGTCCAACAAAATATAAAATCACTACTGCCTGGTCTGAATACCGTCCCGCAAAAACCCCCCCACCACAGTAGAAAATCAACAAACAAACTCACATATCCTACAGGCGACATAATGGCAGAGAGGAGGTGACCAACATGTCCACCTCTCGCATCCGCATGCCAGGCCGTCGACCCTATGAACCCACTTTGCCAAGTGCCTCCGGAGAGCATAATGGTGAGGAAAACCTGTACCTGCTGCCCGTCCCTCAAAACAAACACATAAACAAAAGAAATACATAGAGGTGGTGACAGACCTAAATGGTCAGTGGGGCCTATATCCCACCCGTGGTGCCTTGCCCCCGCCAGCCATGCCCATTGCCAAACCAAAGAAACCAAGCAAACCCTACGAAACCCAACACGCAAGACCCGAACAAGTCCAACCAGGTAGTCGCAACCCACTATCCGCACAGGTGGCCATCAGCCAACCGGTCCATCGGGGAGTTTTGCTGCACTCAGCAGCTTCAACCAACAGCCCAAGGCAGAACAGAAACACTTAATTAGACATCGCCCAACCTGATGCATGCCCGACCGGTGCTTACAAGCGCCTCTCCCCTTCCAATCAGCCCCTCCCAAGCCCCACACACCAGGCGTCACAGAGCCCACCCAGCCCCCTCAGCTCCTCAGACAGATCAACCATCCGACAGCCCCAGGACAGCTATACCTAACCCCATCGGGCAGCCACTTGTCTTGGCCACCCATCAGAGACTCAGCCCTTGACTCCATATAGCTGAGGGGAGCCCACCAGCTAAAGCTGGGAGCCACAAAGGAGGCAGCACCAATACCTGAAGGCACCAGCACCAGCCACACCATCCAACCCAGCCGAACCAAAGTCAAACCTAGTCGGAAAAAGGTAGGCGGAGCCAGCCAAAGCCAGCCCCACAGGTCTGGCAACAAACACAGACCGAACGATGGGCAAGAGGCATCCCCAACTGATGCGACAAGAAGGAGAAGGTCGAATGAACAGAAGCAGACAAACAGAAGGTAGGCCCCACTTGCAATGGGTGAAGCCGCCAACCACAGACCACAACCAAACTAACTAAATACACAGACAATGCGAGTGCCCGGCAGCTAATCATCCCACACCACCCCAGGTAGCAATAGCAATCACGCAAGGGGGTAAAATCTTTCAGGGTCAAAGCCATCCCCACCGAGCCGAGGAGGAGACACCTGACTGAATTGCCATAAATGCTGCAAGGACAACACTTCAAGGGAACGGCGATAAACAACATCGTAGGATTCCGACTGTAGAAACGTAAAGTAACAAGGCAGGGAGGGGCTGGCGAGGCCCCATCCCTTGAGGAGTTATGCGGCCAGTACGTGTTGATACTTG